AAAATAGTCTACAAGCTAAGAAACTAATTTGGCAACCGTATTTGCATAACTATATCTAAAGTTCCAGCCAAAACGTTAACGGGTTGGTACAAATGTGTTCTGCAGGGTGTTGCACAACATCTTTATTCACAGCCGTCAGTTTGTACCTCACACTGCAGGCTAGGGCAACTCCCAATTTTCACCAAGGTGTAGTCTTTCATTCAGGACCACGTGGTCGTTGAGCGGTACAATGCGCAAAATTTAAAGCATCTGCACGGACACGTGGAACAGGTGGTCGTGCATTCGCATTATCGTCGTTGTGTTAAAACCGCACACCTTTTTTGCATTATATACATGCAGGCTGGCCAAGCTCGGCAGCCATTACAATTTTCAACCTGTATGCTGCTGGTCTGGGTATTGGAGGCTTGATGATGCATAGATGGAGACTCAGTGCGGGTGAGCTTTTTAAAAATTAACACCAAAAACATATCTTTCCCTCGACATGTTACAGCAAACACTGGCTGATATGTTAACTCTGAGAATGCTGCAGCTTGCAGGGATTCAGTGTATAAAGTCATGAACTTGCCGTCATTATATCGATGACTAATGAAGTAGGAAGTACCGACTCGAGCTGAAAAATCACAGGCTAATTGTTCGTCCGTGCATCGTAAGAAAAGTATGACTTCGGTATTAAAAGTATGCCTTTACTTGAACACTTCCGATTCCGCTAACTTCGATGGGAGTTATATATTCAAGTTACATTCAAAAGGTCTTGGGCATGTCATTCCCTTGTAATTATTGTAATTAGCATTTATAGATGACCAGGTTTAATAAGAATTATTTATAATGTAACCGAACATGTTTTGAATTGCGTATGCAAACTTAACTGTGAATCCTTAATATTCTCTAAGCAATGAAATGTCCTTAGAAGTCAACTTTAACTGTGGAAATATTGAGGCATCCATTACTTAAAAGAACAGAATATTTTTAGACCAGTCTCAATGGTTTGTGCACAGGGCATTATCATGCGACGTCAGTATTATGGCATTATGGAAAGTGAGTAAGGCAAGCCTGATTTGAGCCAAGTACCTCATCAAGCTGGCGTTTTTCTCTGGTTCCTTCCAAAAGAAACAATGAGAATATCCAAATCTTGAATGCAATTTCGCCGCAGGTCCGGCACAAACTTATGCCAGTAGCTCCACGGTTATATTGGAGAGACTTCAGCGGCGGTTAATTGGCTTACAATACAGTCGACAATTTGTGGCAAGAGGCTGTATTTAAACCCCTGGCTGACCATTTGGTTCGGAGACACCAACCATAACCCATCTGGCTATGCACCTACACTTTCCGACGGAATAAAGATAAAACATTTCCTGTTTTTATATGAAGCTGGTTATCATTCTTTCCGTTAAATGTGTCTTGGTACATTTTCTTTTCCTTGCAAAATCACGTTCTCGTATATCCTGGTTACAGTTGCTTTGTGACCCGTTCTTATTTGTGCCTATAAACAGGCACAAATAATTTTCTTTCGCAGATTAAACTCTCTTCTTTTAGTCTGTTTGTTTGAATGCAGATATTGACTGGATGTGGGACTGACTGGATGTGCGACTGCACGATGTGGAGGTTGAGTCTCTTTCCTTGTTTTGGGGCAGCAGAGATAGCTCTTGCTATCCTCAGGAGCTGATCGACCCTGCCCTTGCGAGATCACGTTTTTCCTGTCGCCTGTTGTCTCCGTTTTGTGACTCGTTCGTGTATGTGCTTGTTTTGTTTGTCATTCTCAAGAATTTCTTTTGCATGTCACTAACTCTCGCCTTTTAGTCTTTGTGTTTGCATGCAGACACTGACCCGATTTGCGACTGCTTGGCTGACTGCCCAAAGTGGAGGTTGAGTCTCTTTGCTTATATTTGGGTAGCAGGGATAGCTCTTGCATTCCTCAGGAGCTGATCGACCCCGCCTTTGCGAGATCACGTTTGTCCTGTCTCCCGTTGTATCCGTTTTGTGACTCGTTCGTGTATATGCTTGTTTTGTTTGTCATTCCTAAGAATTTTTTTGCGTGTCACTAACTCTCGTTTTTTAGTCTTTGTGTTTGCACGCAGATACTGACTGGATGTGCGACTGCTTGGCTGATGTCGTACATCAGTGCCACTTACTGCAGCTCCCAACCTGCATACTTGGAGGCTCCTGACCTAACCTGGCGAAGACTGGACCACTAGTCTCAACACCTGCGCAATTTACATATAGTGAGCAGTCGTGGCATTAGCGTCTGGCTTCCATGTCTGAGTTATCTACAGACACCCCAAAGTTATACACAGTGACGAGGTAGTAAAATGTGCTTCTTTGTACATGTACATTGCGTGCTATTTTACATAACTGAAATGGTATTGAAATACCTGGATGATTTACTGCTGTATATCGCACCGTGATCTGTCATTGCAATGTTAGTCATACAGTACATATTTTTGAAATGGTTTCTACATTGATAATATTGTGATTAACAGGACCTTACAAAGCATGAAGGAGATATGTATTTATAACAATATTTTTCACTACGTATCATGTAGATTTGAGAGGAATCTCTTGCTAAAAATACAAAATATAGGCAATAACTTCCAAGTTGAGTTTATACTCTTGCTTTGTATTCAAGGTGGGTTTCAGATGTTGTTACATTTAACATTTGTGAAGATAGTTGTGTGTTGCCATGTCGGTTTTATATGTGTAAGTCTGACCGAATATTCCAGACCAAACCATGTACATATAGGTTGTCCGTGTTATGCACTGCCGGCTTGTGGGTATGCTGTAATATTGTTGTTCAAAACCTGGCTCCAATTAATTATGTGCAAATGTTGGCATGGCAAAAGAAGTCGGAAAACTAAAATGTATCTCATACACATATGAGTTAAATTGCATATACATATAAGTTGAATCTCGCACAAACGACTTACGCTGTATGTGGGTTCTTGCGTGACTTGTTCACTAATATCCAGCTGAGTAATTTTAGCTCTAACAAATGACTTGAATCTTATACCCATAATTATGCCATAAGAGAGAGAGGCAATTCACCATCTCTCTAATAAAGCTTCGTACTGTACGAAAAACAGCATACAGGTAATTACTGTTCCCTGTTGATTACCTTGAATATGCAAGATACCTGACAGCTCAGATTCTAATTTTCTTCAGAGATATTGCACCTCTATTTTTCTATTAATATTTTCAAAAATATTGCACTTCAATAAGGTATCATTGAAGCATTCATTTTTATAATTGGGTAGTCTATGTAAGAATCCATGTATGCAAGAACAGAATTCAGTTACCATAGTTTGTTGAAACAGCTTGTATGCAGTAATATGACAAATTATAAAACTGTAAGAAGCTGTAGTTTATGTTTTATTTTCATTTTTTGTAGAAATGCTGATTTTTTAATTAGTTTTGTTTTTCTACTGTCGCATGATTGATCGTCTGTGCGAGTCGCGTAAAAGCAGACGTTAATACAGATTTTGCAGATTTCACTTCACATTTTACTGGAAGCAACCGACTCGAAACCTAAGACAATTATTTGTAGAGTGCAGTTATTCGATGAGTACAGTGTTTTTATTCATGCTGTATTGCCGGTCAAAAATTTTTCATGAAAAATGTTTGAATATTGGACAATCTATTGATTCTTTCAGTCAGCTTAAATTATGTTAAAGACCTCGAGCTTTTTAAAAACTTCAAGTGCAAATCAATTCATTTTTGCATTGACGATCTTGAACTCGAATATCGTTTAGAAACATCTGAAGTATGTTTCAAATTGGTGCACTTTCATGTATTTTGGGACTATATCCCAAACAGCACTTGACAACCTGTGCACAGAAGGTGTGAGACTGATCTGAAAATAATTCTTAGTGTTTAGTAAATACTGCAATATTTTCCCTTCTAAAATTATTAACTTTACAGGACGTAATCTTTTTCTGATGGCTGATAAACTACTGCAAGGGAAAATCAGTGAGGTCATATATAAAAGTCCTACCCTTATTTTGTTTATAATTTGCGGCTTTGCTTTCATGATTTCTGGCAAAAGTTTGGTGGTAAAACGATATATGATTTTGTTACAATTTCCATGCGTATCATTAAGCCCTTTTTTTTTTTAAAGAACTCTTCACTATCAAATAATTTAGTTGCTAGCCTATAAGAACTCATACTTTTTGTGGCAGTCCTATGACGTAGTTGACATCGAGGAAAATTGTTAGCTTGTTTAACTTCGTGATTATAAGTCTAACAAATTTTACGAATCGTCAAATGGTAGCTGCCAATGAAAAGAGCTCCGGTTCGTTCGAAGGGCTTTTTGTAATTTTGAGAGTTTGTTTTACTTATATTTAAACTTGACTGGCCCATTAAAAGCAAAATAAAATTAAGATACCTTGAAGTTGGCCTTCTGAAAAATCTCTCAAAGACCTTATTAATTGGGAAGCCGTTTTGATCATGTTCCCAGAATCGATATTAAATTCAATGGAATTAAACCAATTTGGGTTTCATGTCTCACTTTTAAAATGTGGTTAAAACATAATCAAAACTTTGAAAGGCTTCATCGGCATAAAATAACATTGATTTTTCTCTGAATTTTTATTTAATTCAGTGCTTTCATTTATATTCTCAGGTTCCGAAAAAAAGTTAACTTCGCTTTCAATTCAATATGGCCAACTCGTAAAGCTAATTCTAACCTTAAAAAGATTATGCATGTTCAAGATCTGTAGTATATGTATTAACCTTGGACGTGTATTATTTTGTAAGGTTGGATTTTGCTCTTAATGCACGCTTGGAATTTCTACCTTTAAGTTTTTAACAGGGATGTTTATTTGTATTACTCGCTTATAACGATTACAACTAGATATGATGTACAAATGTTGAATTTCACAGAATTATTGAATGAAAGAATGATTGTGTTTCCCTGGATTAAGTTCCAGGACTTGCGGGTAGTGACAATAAAATTGGAATCAAACTCCTAAACTCATGAATCTTTCCCGGAAGCCATTATGATCAGTTGTTTGTCCTTGCAAAGTTATTCTGATGAATTTTTTTCCTAACTAGAATGTAACTAGGGTTAAAATAGCCAACTGGGATCTATGTAGGGACAATGAAATATCCCTGCTTAAAAGCCACCAGTCCCAGTGTCAGCCATCCACTTAGTGTCGCTTTTATAATGTTCAACCCCAGTAACAGGAAATGAAACATGCACAGCGCAAGCTGGAAAATTGATATGAACACATGCCACACAGTTTATTTGCTTTCCGCCACGCCCCCTTGAAAATGATTGCACTACAACCTGTAAAAGAACACAAAAACTTCAAAGTGCATTCAGCCAAAAAAAGATAAAAATGAGTACACTAATTTAAAAGCATGTATTTGCAATGCATTTGTACTACACTCTTTGTGTACATATTTTGTGTTTCAATTGACTTTATTTTCAATATTTGTTTTTCTATTGTAAATGAAGTGTTGGTGCCTTTTTGGTTTATGTTCATGTAGAGTTCCATCATTCATGAGTAAAAGTTTCACATGTTCTTTAGGCCCTACTTTGGTGATTCAATGTGTAAGTATACAGCAATAAGCAAGCAGGCAAACCTTTCTTGGATATGTTTCCTGTAAGCAGTTTCTTGTTTCAAAATTTGAACAAATTTATGTATACACAGATCCACTATGAATTTCAATTTACAGTGAATTCGCAGTTTCAACGTGAAATGTTTTTCTCACGGCAATGGGAAGTTCTCCTGGTAAAAACACCGTGAAAATGACCCTCACTGTGACCCCCTCGCAGACACCTTCAGGCAAAGCTAGGATTTTACTTGTGTGGGAGGGCACAAAGGGGGCCCGGGCACCAGCATCTTATGGCGGGGGGCACAAGCTTTCAGTGGTATGGTTTTTGGGGGGCAAGAGTTTGTTAGCCTTGTTCAATATCCGGTTTTTTTTTTTGGAGGGGGGCATCTGCAGGCACCGGGAATTTGTTGTGGGGCACGGCCCCAGCCCCCTCCCCAGCTACGCCACTAATGGGCCTCTGACCGTTTTGAAGGGGTGATTATCTCTGGAAAGAAATATCCTGAAAAGTCATCGGTTAAGCCACTGAAAATTGAAAGGAAAACAAAAGATATGTCTTTAACAGCCGAGTTACTTGTGAGTAATTTTCCTGACTTTTATTTGAACTTGTGGGTATTAGTATAAACTGTTGCCGCTGCGCCTTCCATACATGACGCTACAACAGCAACAGCGCCCTCAGTTGTTCAAGTGTATTTAATCAAACATGGATGTCAAATAGTTTTTATACATTGAAGAAAGTATGAAGTTGCAGAAAACTGTGTCTATTGGAGATTCATTGCAGCAGGGTACAACTTGTGTTCGTCGCGAGTCACTCGCTCTCGACGAAGCTGGGGGATCTGGCCCGCCCCAGCCCAGCTTCGTCGCCAGCGAGAAAACTTCAAATTAATTAGGAGCAGGTCCCAGACTTCCCTATGCAGTTTAAAAACTGGCTTGCGGGTCGAAACCTGTCTAGGACTAGTAAGAGTCTAGTTTTTTACGTCCAGTCACGGGCATATCGCATTATCAGCGATTCGAGCGCTAGCGAAACGATGACACGCGCGCCAGACGACTGTGACTGCTGCAAAACTTTAGATGGGTGAGTTGTGCTTTCTTTGCCTGCAGATGACAATGGCAGATGACAATCGCAGATGACGATGACAGCACCCAGTATAGGCTACATACATGTACATGTTTAGGTTTTCATAAGGTTTCTTCACACTGATCATGCTCTGTCCTAGTGTGGCACGGACTCTCACTCCCGGTCCATCCTTAGCCACACCGAGGTAGGAAAAGACACATCCGTATGTACGCAATTTCGTGTCGGCGTATTGAACATTTCGGCGCACCCACTTATCGTGGGTGCAATTCTTTTACACACGAACATGATTCTTGACCTTTCCGCTTTCTAAAAACCATTTGTTGAGTGATTTCACTCACGTTATTCAGGTATTTTCCAGTCTTTTTGCCTTTATCCGTTCAATCTAACGGACTCGCTCTCACAGTTGCCATCTTTAAAATAAGGGCGTTGAACATTACGTCTCTTGATCCCTCATCGTTTCGACAGCTCTTCCATGTCAAAACATCTAAACTGCCGCCAAAGTTTTGGAAGAGCCCATTGGTACATGTAGTTACCAGTCTTATCGCTCAGTCCGTGTATTACATACATGTATGTCTTGACATGGAACAGCCGTCGAGACGATGAGGGGTCAAGTGACGTAATGTTCAATGACCTTATTGGTCGTTGTACTTTTAGAAGAAAAGAATTTATACAGATTAAGTGCCATAAATTAAATGAATGACGTCAAGAGTGAACTGCATAAAGTTGGAGAAGGTTGAGAAATTTTCTACAGAGATTGGCCAACTCTAGCTAGGGGAAGGTGGCGCATGAGTATGGAATTTTTGCCTATTGAGGAATCCTGGTACAGCTACAATTAAAGTAGCAGCCAAATAGGATTAAAAGACTAGGGCTGAATCAATTCACTATTCCAATATTTGACCTTCAATGCGATCAAATATCCGATTATTCGGTCGTACCAACTGGCAGATTGTTGATGAGCAAACCATACAGTTGCAATGACTCACAGTTATACATTATAATCACACAAATAGCTTCTCACGTCTAGGAGTATCTCCAGCCACGATTAATGATGTACAATACTTCTGGTCCTGTTGAAAATTTCTGTTCCTTTTAATTTTGCAATGAATAATTTACTTATTGAATCGTAAAATTTCTTTCGCTTTTCATTTGAATCAGCTTGAAACAAGCCTCCACTTTGCAAGTTTTCTCATTTAAAACAAAAAACTCTCCCTTTTCATGAATTTTGCATTCGAATATTCAAATTCATATTGGAATCGATATTCAGCATAGTCCTTTGAAAGACTCAAGACTCAAGGTTCTCACTTAACAAACAGAATAGGTTTTGTGCACAGGATGTCAGGCGGACTTTTTTCCCACAAGTGGATCAGTTACTGCACCGAAATAATGCCAATTCTTGCTGTTGACATATTAAAAGTCTAATTAACGTCCGTGATGGTATAGTTGCCAGGTCCCTAATTTTGCCATCTTTTGTCAAGTCTGATTGGTTTTATGACAGTAAGTAGAGAAATAAGGGACCTGGTGACTATACCATCATGGAGATGATGGACGTTACTCCTACATGTATTACTAAATACTAAATAAATTCATAATTATGCATGCATGCGCACAAATGGCCTTGGGGGCAAGAAGTGTGAGCAGGCCATTGAAAACGTACAGGGGTGCGATTTTGATCATTTTCTCTCAGGTTTTCTGGCTTTGTTCTTTTATTTTCTTCAGAAAATCCCAATTAATTGTTGTTGCTGTAAAACAGCACGAAAGGAGACCAGCTTACATGTACGTGTACATTGTAGATACGGCAATCTCTCGTGTACAGGAAAAATCAAGATTGTACATTTTCCAGAGCACTAAAAACCTCTTTAGATTAAAAACTAATCGCAAAAACAATTTAATGAGATTTTCTGAAGAAAAAGCCCACCCACCATGGCCATTTTTGCACATGCATGCACAATTATGAATTCGTTAGTGAAAAAGTCTATACCATCATGGACATTAGATGACATGGAACAGGATTGCTTAATTTTGTGTCCTTTCAACTTGGAAATTTTGTCAAAGTTTAGACTGTCACATGATTGTGAGAGTGGTATTGACGTCAGGTGGGAGCACAGTGGTGGATTAAACAAGGATACAAATAAAAACAGGGATACAGTTATTGTCTTTGTTGGCTCGAGGGATTTTGCAGTTGAGGCTACAGAGTGAACACATGACTCCCCGTCGATGGTTAATGTTGGTCTGGCAGAAGACATTTAATGTTGCTGGGAATGATGCCTTGAATTTCTGGTAATAAGGCATGCTGTTATGCCCTGGTCCTCTTGCATGTCCCCTAAAAGTTGGTTCCAGTATATCAGTCACACAGCAGAAGTGGGTGTTATGACTAGTAACAAATCTAGTAGCACGTTTTTGGGTCTTAGGCTGAGTAACTTCATGTAGAATTATTCAACTGGCTTTTTAAAAACATTTTAGTCATGAGCTGGCAATAGAAGAATCCTGTTACCTACCACATACAGGTAGCATTTACCAAAATTAAATTCTTTCTAGAACTATTAGATTTCACCTCCAAAACCACCTCCAAAGTACTGGTGTAATGTCTCATTCCGCTGTGACCAGATTTCCTGTTTGTAGCCAAATGCCCGAACTTGTCCCGGACAACCCGATTGTATGCTTTGTTCACTTTGTTGTGTGAACTGAGTTCGGAATTGTAATGACTCAAGTCATTGACTCGTCTCAAGTCGGACTCAAGTCACAAATTTTGGCAACTCAGCTTGACTCAAGTCCAGACAGGTAAATGATTTGACTTGACTGGAGTCTGCAACCAAATGACTCAACTCAACTTGAATCTCTCATGGATACTCAACTCGAGTACAAGTTCATAAGATTCGATTCTCAAAATACTTAAAAGCAAAATTTTGGGGCAAAAAAAAATCTATTTGAAATCAGACTCACGGCGCTGCTCTTATATTGATGGTGAATACGTTGCCGTGCAGGATGTATGTATACACAGCATGCGGCGCAGCACACACCAGTCTTCTTTTCTTTTTCCATGCGTGGAAAGCATGCACACCAGAGAATGACTTGCATGTAGTTGTGTTCTTATTGCGTTTTGTTTACAAATTTGTGACTCAAAGTGTCTTGAGCTCGGTACTTGACTTGACTCAACTCAACTTGACTGCACAAACTTCTCTACTCAACTTCTTGACCTAATGACTCGAGTCACAATTTCAAACTGACTTGGCTCGAGTCACCAAGTTTAGGGATTCATTAGTCGTTACAACACTGGCTGACTTCCAACATCAACTCAAGGACACAGGAATTATTCAATATGTGTAACGTTTTAATAATAAAAGTGCCTGCCCTTTGTTGTGACCACTCTGTTGACATAAAAGTAATTTGGTATTGACTTAAAAGGCGTAGGTACTGTGTTTACCTCTGGTGCTTAATGGTGTGTACAATATGTACATGTATATGTGGATTAACCGTTTCCCTTTTTTTCAGCCTCCTCCATATTAACCGTAGCCGCCGCTGAGACTTTGTGTCAAACGCAGGCCTGTTGTAAGATCAAACAACCCCAGTCAGATGCCTAACCACGTACATTTACCATAATATTCAAAAACCAGCGAGAACATTACACTGGACAAACATGAAGAACAATATTGATGTAGTGTGACATCATGAAACACTGACTTTGTTCAACTTGAGATTTTGATGAAAGATTTCGTGTCTTTTTGCAGATTGTCCTGTCACATCTGTAGAACTTTCGCTCTGATCTCACCCTGAGCACCTGTGGGCTAGTTTCTGACAAGTTGTGGCCATGTACAACTGAACATCCGTGTAATTCATCGCTCCAGCTGGATAGGTAATAAACTAGCATCATTCACAGACACATGTTGCATGAACGTGCGGGGTGCAGTCAGTCGATCAGTGAGATTACCGATCAGGCTTTGTGATTGCCAATTGTTCAGTTAATCTCCAACTTTTGTTGAAACGCTCTTTAACAGTTGTGAATATGGGGGGTATGGCAGTAAAGCACCCATCACCAGAAAACAAAAATGGTTGGAGGGGTCAGTTTTGATTTTTTTCAAGCAAATTGTTGATTTTCGGCCCCAGTCATTTCTATTGTTATCATTTCTCTTTGTTCTCCAGCCCCACCCCCGTGTATTCGGGAGTGCGTCATTTTGACCTTGATTTATCTTCGTCTGATTCCATGCCAAAACATTGGTTTTGTGACTTAAATGCACATGTAGTATTCATTAAATTTATGGGACTTCATTACCGTTAAAAATATCCTCATAAGACCTGAATCAGAAAAAGAAAATGAAATGTCATACAATTAATATGTACATGTCGGATAGGATTCAGTTTCAAACAATGAAGCAATATTATTTATGTGACTGGGGACAATAAAAAAACAAATTCACAAAACTAAAATTATTTTGCCATTTTATTAATTTAAATCTTAATTAATGAATTCAACAGGACTGCAGTTAATCCGCTAGTAAAACTGTAATAGTAAATGTTGATATTTGTTATTGTTTCAGCGCCTGGAACCACTGAATAACACAGCAAGTTGTGTGACACTCTACTGAGGGGAGACAATTGGACCAAGAAAGCAGGAGGATATATGAAAGGACGGAGGAGGAGTTTGCCCAAGAATGAAACCCCCTCAAGCAGTCCAGGTCCTGAGTTCTGGATGGATGTTGAGAGAAGGGGGCCAGGCATTCTTCGCTATATTTCCCCACTCCGGATGCGGGGAACCCCGAGGTCAAATAAACTTACCACCAGGTCATGGCAGGAGGATCCGCACAAGGAATCAGCAAAGACTTGCTGGAAGAATACAACAGACAAGCCTACTCCATTCACTTGGAGGGATCTTCAACCAGTTACTGGAAATAAGAGTACCCTAAAAAAGGACAACTCTGCAACCTTTGGCCAAGATGTGCAGCAAACTCAGGGAATGCGACTGTGCTCAAAAAGAAAAAGAAGAAGGAAAAGGAGAAAAAGAAAGAGAGACATTCACACAGCTGAAAATAAAAGAAATGCATCTGATTTGCGTCAAGAGAGTGATAAACAAGAAACTAAAAATGAGTCCTTGGGTAACCGGTGCATTGCCTCAAGGCATTATGAAAGGAAATCAGTCGTACAGGGAAAGAATGTTGTTGCAAGTGATTCACAGAGATATTGTGCGGATCCACATCGACAGTCTCCGTCCATAACATGCAAGAAAGCAGTGGCAGAAGGAAAAAGTTTGGAAGTCTCAGGAAGTCACTACAGCAAAACCGAGCAGCAGGAAAGTAGTCAAAGGCAATCAGCGGAGAGACTACAAGCAGTGACAGGAGCATGGGCACTCGAAGGATCCATTCCACAAATGTGCAACAGAGGAAAGCCAAAAGGATTTCCAAGCGCAAGAACAAGGATTGCTAGGTTTGAGGCAAAGCGACTGGAGCGTATCCGGAAGAGGAAGAGGTCCTGTGAGAGTCTCAGGATCGTTGTTGGCCATGGACAACCACTGCCACAAGAAGCTGGCCACTATAACATTCCAAGTGCACAATTAGTTACCTCAACATTGAAAGAAGATGCAGATTATCCAACACCTGACTCTGTTGATCCGCTTATGCCTCTTCATAATCAACATGTAGCATCTCCATTGACAAGGGTTTGTGGTGTAAAGGAGTGGATCTCCACTTTTGAGGCAAAGCAACGGAATAGCATACAGGACAGACGATCCTCCAGTAAAACCATCAATCATCAAAGTTGCAATCAGAGTGAAACCTTCACACAGCCTGACTCTCAAAGTGCTGCACTGACAGGTCAAGAAACAGTTTCAATACCTGCACCCTCGTTAGATGCTCAGGATGCAACAAGTGTCATCAGACATCCAGAAGTGAATCCCGATCCAGTGGAAGCATTCATTTCGCCACAGTTTCATGGAGTACAGACAAGCATCACTGCATTGCTGCCACCAAATTGCAACAGCGAACCCAAACAGAAACGTCTGAAGAGTGCCTTGGATCAAGAAGCAATCAGCAGCGGTGATGTGAGTCAGCAAAGAACACCTGTCTCTGGTGCATGCAATGCAGCTTCCTCAATTACCCATCCAGATATGTGTAAATGCAATGGCCCAATCTTATGTAACACAACACCCTCAGGAGACAAACACACTAATGGCACACTAATGACAAACGGTCAACAAAGCTGTTGCAAAGCTTCAGTTTCTCATTTATCTGCAGCTGAGTCACTGTGCTGTCCTGCAAGCCATAGGGTTATGCACAGGTACAAATCAATTTGCAAAACCCCACCCAGTGTCCGCAGGAATGCGCTGGTGTCACCATTAGAGTTTGGACATGATGCTTCACCATTGCAGTGGGCTTTGCCAATCACAAGCCACTTTTGGAGCCTAACAGGCCAACCCTCACAAAAAGAATGGCATGAAGCGAGAAAGACAAGAGAGGGAGCTGTGTCACTCACCAACAGGATGTATCAACAGAATGGCCAGCATTTCAAATTTCCATTAGTGAACAACAGTGAACTGAGAACAGATCTTGATAAAGGAGTCTTCGCTTCTCCACTAATCAAGAGTACTCAAGGAGCATCGGTCACAAAATGTACCCAGCTCCTGCGCAGAAGCCTTCAGAAGAGGAGACGCAACAATCATGGCTCCTGTCCAGAATCTGGCAAATGGACAGACACAAGCTCTGCATGCAGTCTGTCATCCAGTGACGTGGTCAGTGGAGTCATGGCACCAGGTCAGTCCTCCGTGGTCAAAATAGCAAAGCACCCACCACCTGTAGAATTTGAAAATAACACAGATAACAACAAGTCCTCTGCCAAAGCAAAGCGTGCCAGACCTGTTCACAGGGCACCACACCGGAGAAGAAGTGGGACTCCTGTTTCATCATCAGAGTCTGAGAAATACACAGACAGGGACTTGTTCAAGGTGTCCTCCGAGGCGGGTACATCTGTCCAACAGCAACCTGCTAGTGCCTTGCCCGTACCCAAAACCCTGTCCCCTCCATCGCCTTTTGGGTTCATAAGGCTCATTTCCAATCGTGATAGGAGATTCGAGAGGAGGAAAGAACCTGACAGGATGCAGCGTCTTTTCTCTAGCAGTGATGAGACTGACCCCAGTATTGCCACTGCAAGGGCAGCCAGTCTGGACTTCCTTCAAAAGGATTGGGATAAAGACGTTGATGAAGATTGTTGCAGTGACGGGGCTGATGGCAGTGGTCTTGGCAATCAGGGTTGCATTACAGATGACGATGCTGTTGATGAACCTGATGGTGGCAGGTTCATCAATAATCCTGAATCCAGTGATGATGGTGAAAAGAATGATCAAGACAGTGACCACAATGACTGGAGTTCAGAGGAAGAAGATGTTGGTAGAGATGATGAAAGCACTGCCAGACATTATAGTAATAATTTGAAGGCAGTTGGGAGTAGCGATACAGGTGCTGAAGGTAATAATGGGCATCTTGGGGAAGCTGGTGATGATGGTGCAAACAGCCTCGATTTTGATGTTTGTGACTGCTTGTCTGATGATGGTATCACAAGTCGTGATGATGGCGACGGCAGTGAAAATGGCAAGCTTAGTGACAGCGGTCATGAAAGTGACGGAAATGTTCGTAGCAGTGAGATGGATGAAAATGGCTCATGGGTTTATAGCCTTGTGGACCAAAAAAATGGGAGCAATACTGCTAAACATATGAGTGTTAGCTGTTCCAAGGAGGAGCAGCAGAACAGCAGAGATGCAGACGTCAACAATGAAAATTTGGGTGCTTGTGTTCATGGCTGTGAACAGGATCTTGAAAGTGACATCATAAATGTTGAAGACGATGAGGAAGAAAGTGTTATTGAAGATACATGTAATGTGGGCTCCCCATTGCCGCAGACACCAGTCTGCAGTCTGAGGCTTCGAAAGGCAAGGCAATCTCAAGATGGACTGTCTAGAACTAAAACCAGAGTGTCAAGCCAGAAAACAGTTATCACTGACGTAGGGAAATTCAAAGAACAGGAGAAGGTTGTGAAGAAATTAGCTAAAAGGAGCCATGCATCCAAACATGAAAAATCCAGACAAGTCAGTGCATGCCATGGAAGTGATGATAGACTACTGAGAATTAACACAAAAACGTCGCGCCAAGCGAAACAAACCACAGGAGAAAAGAAGAATGAAACAGATCAGAGTATTGCTGCCACTCCTCAGAACTCAAAACAGATACCTGCCAACACCAACCCCAGTGAAGTTACACCCTTGCATTATATCTGTCATCGCGATGGACTGATAAGACATAGACGAAAACTGCGGTGGCCGGGGCCGCGGCCGCAGCGAGCCAAAAAAACAGGACTTTTAACTGGACTCAAAGGAAAGCAGAAAACGTCCAGTGCAAAACAAGAGAGCGCTCCAAAGGGGTCTGCCAATTCAGCACTACTGAGAACAAACAGTCAGGCAGTTAACAGCGTGGCATTGCAAGAAATACTTGCCAAGAGAACTGAAGCCAATAGTAAGTTTGCTTTGCGCATCCATATAAATGTACGTGTACATACAAAGCATGCACCAATCTGTCTGTAGACTTTTCCACCCATGCCAAATGGATGGTGAGGTTGTACACAATTCAGCAGTCTCAGCTAGAAGCAGCGAGTTGATACATACCTCTCTTGTTCTGATGTCACGTGCATTCATAAATTTAGAGTTATGCTGTTTGCACATCAGTCAAAGGAGCCCCAAGACACATGCTCACAAACTGTGCGCAAGCATGGGACATACATGTTTAAGTCCTTTCAGTGGGTTCTAACTGTAGATTTCTGAATTTGGGACAACTCAAAAGTCGAAATGCCAAAGACGTCCCGACAAGAGCATTGCTGGTTCCAATCCGAAACACCCGTTGTTCAGTTGAGAACAGCGCATGTTTAGGTGAAATACACAGTGTTCCATCAAGGATCATTTTAGTGTCAACAAGAACATTCTAAATTTGTAGGCGTTTCTTTATGTGCAGATCACAGTACTCTCAGCATTGCAGTCCTGTTCAGTGTATTTCATTCACTGACAAATTCACTTCCGCAGGGGCTGTCAGCCAGAGCATGGTTTCCTCCTTTCCTGTGGATTGGGAAGAGCCTGTGAAGCATAGCCGTCTGCTCAACGAGCACAGGCAGTTCCTGCAGGATAGGTTCTTGAAGCTCCTGATGAAACGAGGCAAGGAGATGCGACTGACCAATCGGCCTTCCCTACTAGACTTGACTTTGAAAGATCAGTTGAAAGAGCAGCGGCGGGAGCGTGAACAAGACAGGAAATGGTAGGCCTTCACCAAAATTTATGATTCATTTTTGTTACCCTTTCGCGCAATCAATTTCATGTTGTTGGTTTTCAGCAATGAATTATGAGAGAAGGCTATTGAGAAGCATTCATGCAACCATCTCCCATGGTCTCATTCCAAATAGTTGATTAATGAAGTCCAGCCATTCTGCCATCCTGTGTTTTATATAATTAACAGATCAGATCAAGATCTTGCCTATACAGGAGTAATTTTTGTTTTAAATGCTAAAAAGACCTTTTTAAGTGTTTAACATTGCAAAATTCAGAAACCTCTATGTGGACTAGGTTGTATCTAGTTTTATGCTCATTTCAAGAACTACTTTTTGCTTTGGTTGCATTCATCTCAAATATTAACTTGGCTAATTGCCACATTCACCTCATGCATATATGTACATACAAAATGAACAGAATAATATTGTGAACCGCTGAAGAGAACAAGAGAAACACACACTTACACGCAGTGCCCAAAATCGAATCTCAGTTGATGTAAGCAAGAGCCCAAACATGTTTCTGCAGGAGCTGGGGTGTGAATGTTGGCTGTTAGACTCTTAAGCTGCCGTAAAGTTGATGAAAACTGAGATAATTTTTTTGTAACACTTCTTATGGAGGGGACTTTCACATTTGACGTTGATCATGTTTGTTTTCTTCCTGGGGCAGGAGAAGGAAACTTACTGCGGACATCAAATCGGACAAGTGGATTAACTATGAAACACTCCCCCAGGTCTTCACAGTGCAAAAAACCAAAGAGTTTCATCCAAAAGATCCAACTGAGATGAGAACAGAATACGCAGTCTAGGAAATGCAGGTTTTATTTCCAGATCAACATCAAATTCACTTCAGGTAGTGAAAATGCTGTCTTTTGAGGACCCTGTTTGACAGACAGAGTACATGTCTAAATAAACACCCAGGGACTTAAAAATTCATCTACAATCTGCATCCTTTACCTGTTCTAAAAAAGCCAGACAAAGTTAGTCATTTTCAATACAGTTTATGGTTTCCAAGTTTATGACAGTGGAATTCAAACTTGAGAATGACTATATTGTAATTTGAAAGGTCTGAAATAAACGTTTTGGTGCTTGCTAGTTATCAGAAGTTGTTATAGGATATTCAATATTCCACTTCAATATTCCTTGATTCGATTTTCAAATTAAATCTACATTCAAGTAGGCATACCTTCTTACTTCACTCTTGTAATTTCACTCGTCCCCAAAAAATCATAAAATAAAATTTTTAAAATGCGTGTACATTTTGTTATGTGTAAGTAAACAGATTTCGTGTGCCTTTATATATGTGACGTCCTAGTCTTGGATCATAACAAAAAACTTTTCAAAGATTTACACCATCTTTTCACTGAAGAGCTCCATTCAGAAGTTATTTCATTTGTTTTTTCCCCCAAGTGTTTCTCTGTTTGGATTAGGTTTTGGTCAACATCAAATACCTGTATTCAACATATAATGAGTACTGTGCAAACGTTTGTTAACAGCAGGTGGGAAGATCTCAGAATAGTGAGCCAGAATAATTCTCATTTTTTCTTATATACCAAGAGTGGAAGGCTACACTAAAATGGCGTTGGCTTTTATTTCCAATTTAAAAGTTAGTTTTTAACCTGTCCTTTCTGGAAAGACTATGCTTAGTATTGTCAAGTCTGCTGCTTGAAAAACACCAATGTGCTCCTCGATGATGCATGTATGGAAAAGCCAGTCAGTGGCAACTTCTACTTTTTAAATCATATCTGGCACACTGGTTGTGTGTTTCAACTTTCAGCAGTTGTGAGCTTTGAATTCTCCTTACTAAACACACTGCTGATATGCATCTCATGATTCAGGGGAGGGCTCTGGCATCATTTCCAGACTGCTGCCTAGTGCAGAGGCTTCACTGTTGTTGAAAATGGCACAGAGGCACCAGACCAGAAGTCACTGGTCTTCGTTGGTAGAAAAGCCTGCCCTAAACCATGTGGCCTGTGTAGAAAACATGGATGTTTGGATGCTTTAGTGTAAGGCTTTGTCTGAAGCAGCTGGCTGCGGCTAGGATTAACACATGGATCTGTGGGAAGTTGCGCTAGCCACAAGCTGGTAATCTTCCCCAGATGCATGTTATTTAAGCCATAATAAATAATTGAGGCCCAGCCTAATAGAAACAACCATGATGCCAGACATTCAAAGTAAGCCCAAAAATGGTTTGTTGGGGTAACCCTTTTGGTTAATTTTGACCAATTTTTACCTGAAGGTCTTGTGTCACAGATCATTAACAGGAGCAGCACTCTACTAGAAACACTGCATTTTTTAATAGCCCTCGATATATTTGAAGATAATCTATTGTATACTCTATTTAAGATTACCCCCTTGGATTTGTACGGTTCAGCATTGAAACAAAAGTTTTTGAAAATTCAAGTTATTTTTTCTTAACTCACTTGAAGGTTTCATATATTAGACACTACATGATTGCAATAAAACTATATTCATGTATTTATAGTTACCTTAATTCATTGTTCTGACATCGTTGTTTATGGTGTGCACTGTATGCAAGGGCAGATGTATATGTTCGGAGTGGAATGGTCTTGGCAAAACAGTTACTGAGGAGACTTGAGAGATGAGATGTGTCACTGGACCAGCTCCTTTTATAAACAGTACCACATGATGATCTTGGCAAAACCGGTAGCGCATGCTCTGCCCAAGGAGAATTTCTTGCGCAAATGGCAAATGATGCCTCATTCAAAGAACTTTAAGTAGATGCACCTCATTACTTGTGGCTTATAACTTGCTTCTCCTGGGTATAAATGCACCTTGGTTGTTCCTCCAAGAAGATGTCTTCACGAAAACGTATTTGCCAATTACCACAAAACAGTGCAGAGGTACACCTGCAAATGAAGGGTGTGTACAAAAAATCAATACAAATTGATTGAAATAATTTGAAAGGACTGGTTGGTTTCTATTTCAAGTAAATTGTGCAGGACTAGCAACTTAACATGCACAACTACACATAGCCTTGCCCTAGTCATTAGCATACACAAGTCATTCCAGTTATGGGGTGATGATTTTGTCATACAAACTCCCTGTTATTGGCTGTAAATGTAGCTGAGAAGGGAGTTCATGTACAGCTTCTGTGGAGGGGGAGGTCAAAGCACTCAACAACAGCAGAATGACCACAGTGGATGGGATCAATTCTAAAAGCCTTTTATGAGAAAAATGACAACGATGTCTTCCTTTTCCCTCTTTTTTCTTTTAATTTATGGGGCCATGCCACTCCCCCGTGGTGTACCCAATCCCCAATCAGCCATACTGAGACAGGCAGGCTGGCAATTTTTTGAGGAAATTGAAACTGCCAACTCTTCAAACATGATGTATACCATCCCCTGGGGGGTTGAGGATCAGAAAAAATTGTACATCATTTCCAGAAATATATCCCAATTTGGATCCCCTCCAGACTCAAAACCAAGCTTTTCTCTTTCTTTCTCACCTCCACCCCCATGACACGATTAATATATAATACCCGCAACAGAGCTTTGATTTTGCCTTGTATATGTTATAACTGAGTTAAGAATTTTCATGTGTGGATTGGCCTATGTCTACCATACGGGATAAACTGAGGTGAAGCACCTTGATGAACACACGCAGTTATGCAGCACAAGAGCCAAAGCTGGGCATGACATTCAAATGATACCAGATCAACTTGGCATAGAGACTACAACGGACAAAATTTTCATTTGGCATTGTTTGATGTTTATTTAGTATTAACAGGCCACTGTTTTGCAGATCAAAACTCTTCTCAAAATAAACCTGTTACTTAGCATCCACATGTGTAATTAGTTCTTTAAACTTCTTTTTAAAGACTGGATCGACAAAATCAGTGCAGGCTACATAGGCCTACGTTTAATCATTGTGCCTCTCGTTAAAATTGAATTGAAAAGTCAGCTTAATAATTGCCAAAACGAGTTGAGTGCGAAAATAAGTGGTTTTCGATTTGTAATATAAATCATTCAAATTTCAAAGACTTTTAAACCATGCATATTTGATTTGTTTCCCTTTTTAAGACATCCTTTTTCATGGACTGAGCTGGCGGTTTGGGGAATCTTAACGTGGGGAGATTTTTTCAAACGTGTTTTTCAAGCGTTGTATGAGCTTTATCCTTGATGCAATTTATCGCTTCTCTGGAAATCTGAGGAAAGCCTTGCCTATTGAACACTATTTTGAAATAAGCCTCCTTTATTGAGGTCCGACTCTTTGTAAAATTTTCCCTGCCTTTGCATTAATTATTCTGCCTTTTGTCTCAAGACCCAGTCATAATTCCAGAAACAATTGTTCAGCTTTCTGGCATCTACCTAGTATCTTTGCATTTATTTCTAGAAATAGGAAAAAAAAGGTTGACATTTTGTGTGGTATCATTTTGCCGCACTGATGAGGTACAAGCCTCTATCTTCTCCAGAGTTTCCCGCCACCTCGGAGATCACCCGCCAATCAGCGAAGGCGATACATCAACGGGCGAGGCTATTTTACATAATTTATGCAGATTCGCTGCGCAAGCAAAATCCGCCATATTCACGAACCGGTTTCAACGGAGACAGACAGTGGACGAAGTGGATATATCCCCAGTTTTTATATTCTGAACGTTCGGTAACCTGCCAAAATGGCAGAATTATCTCCGTAGTTGTGCAAGCGACCTGGATGGAGGGTTCAAGCCCGCCGATGGGCTGTAATTCGCTGCGATATCTTTGATGAAATGTAAGCTCTCTGTCTTGTTGAAATACACGTAGCGATAGGGTTCGCAATAGAAGTACACGTATGCACTGAACATGTACTGTACAGTACACTTAGGTTACGTAGCATGGGTTCAGCAGGTAGCCTACATTTTCACTTTGTGCCCGCACGTCTCGTCGTGCGTGCCGGGCAGAACCGCGTGATGTCATGCATGCGCTATTTCACCGATGTGATAACTTCGTCATATTCACCGTTTCGTGCACATAGAATCGGAATCGAATCTTCACGATCATATTTGGGTGAGCCCCTCTTGAAAAGAATTTGCATGACCTGACATCAAATATATGTTGGGGGGCCTAGTATCTGTTAAAAGAGTTGAAAGTTTCCTTAAATTTTTCTCTATTTTATTGTCATATCTCCACTTCGAGTTTCGGTCATGTCGGTTGAGGTTGAAAATGCCTTGTTGCACATTGCAGAGGTCAAGTGAATTTGGACATGCTGAAAGATACGTTAAATACAGGCTTTTCAAAATTTGCATAACCTCAGCAAAGATGAGTCAGCCATGTCAGTGCCAAATTTGCCTAGGCCTAGTACAGTCATGACAGTTTTACATATGCTTTTTAAAAAATCCGTTTTGGATAAAGATGATGATGTGAAAAATTTGGAAATTTAGGCTCGACATTAGGGCCTAGCCCACTTTTTTTGCTATAGTATTATGAGACTCGTCTGAAAAAAGTTTTAAGTAAATGCTTTGGAATTTTCTTAGCTAAATTGTACTTTTTACGACATGTTTTCACTTTCTAATGGCTGCTAAATATTTTCAGTGAAAATTAAGGGAAAAAATGTTGCATCCTGACTCCACTTCAGCAGTTGTGTACAAAGTCTATGGAATTTTCTAAGTATTTCCCAGCAACATCGGTAAATGTTTCTCAGTCCAGAATTCGTGTCGGCAGTCCAGCATTTCTGTAATGACTGACTTTTATTGAGATGATAGGCCTATATGATGAGAAAAGTGGAGTCAGGATGTAAAATCTTCTCCAAGTTAAGTGTTGTCCGTTTGTGTAACTCCTTTTTTTTTGGCATCTTTGGAAATCACTTTTCTCAAAGAAACAAGGCTAGTTATACATTTAGAATTTGTGTCTGGGATTTTTATTCACACCTGCAATTTTCATATCAGGAGAAATGTTCAAGGTGGCTGTTGGTGAATATATGTTATTTGTAGTTACTGAAGCCCAGTCCACACCGGACATTTTTTGGGGAAGCTAGTCTTTGTCAAGATGTTGTATTGATACGTGAGAGGGTGCTTACAAGATGAATAGCTGGAACATGCAAACCACAACCAGCCACACCAGTAATGTCTTGGGAAGTTGGTCAATCCTATATTGTGTGCGTGCACATAATTAGCATAATACATGATACGCACTGAATTGTCTCACTGAATATGTATCACAATTGAAAAATGTATCATGCATGATCTGTCTATTCCCCTGACTCCTGTGTGTACGTGAGTGTACATTTACATGTACATGATGCACATGTAAGCCTACATGTAGTACATGTATGTGTACATGTATATTGTACATGTGTATCGAAAAAGTGGCTGAACACTTTGATGATGCCTTGCAATTTTCTGCAAAAATTAGATCTTCCTAGTGTGAAAAGCCAACAAAGTATGCTCTTGGACAGTTTGTTCAAGGCTACAACCTTTTCGTTAACATTGCCACAGTCAACATTAAAATTAGATTTGGAAAGAGTTTTCATTTTTCGAGTAGCACCAATTATCTTGGATTTCTTAAGCCCAAAACAGAGCAAAGACAGCACCTTGCACTCGCAATTGAACACAGCTTTTCGACCAGTGCCATATATGCCGTGCAAGATTGTACCAGACTATCGCGCATTTTCATCATAGGTGTTCAACGTGTATGGGCGTGCGTGAACAGAAACTGGGAAGCACCTGCATTCCTAAGTAATGCACGCGCAGTGAGTTTCCCCCAATTTCGGGGGGATAGGTGACCAACTTCCTAAGACGTTGCTAGCATGGCTAGTTGTGGTTTGTGCATTCCAGCTATAAGTCTTGTGAGCACCCTCTCGCGTATCAACAACACGACGTATTGACCAAGACCAGGGGAAGCTGACCTAGACGATGAACACTCTTAAACCCTAACCGCCAACCATATTGTTTGGCTTACACTACTCATTACTACAAAATACTAAGTAATAGCCTGAGCCTGAAGGACCTGTAGCACGACAAATTACTACTTCTGGCAAGGTTACTTCGATTGTTACTCGCACAGAGAACAATAAAGTCATGCATTCATAGTGTCACAGCACTGTATGGTACATTATCTTATCTATTTTATTTTATGGCTTCAGAGAATAAGGTCTTATCCTCTTACAAGCAACAGTGCTGATTACTACTTTTTACTATAAGTAGTAATTTGTAGTATTATGTAGGATTAGGGTTAAGGTCAGTGCAGACTGCCTGGGGTGTATTGCTTGCAAATTGCTTGCCTTGAGTTCAGTGGTTCGGGCCAAGTACTTCCCAGGAAAACTGGCCAGGAAAAATTACCTTTGTAAAGTCCAGTGTGGACAGTGCTACTCAGTAAAAGTGGTTTTTGAAAGCTCACATCTGGCCCAGGCACAAGGTGCTACTGCATGGTTACACTGCAAAAGCACTTTGCATGTTTTACTGTGGCAATTTGCATACGTGTGATCAGCAGGTTTCCCAGTGTGTTCCTCTTTTAGTCACAAATCATTGCAGTTGTTTTTGATGCTTTCAGAAGTTTGATAGGTACCACCAGTTCATAATTTGTAGATGATAATGGAGGATGTCAACGTTGTGTCTTGCATGTAAGACCAAAAAAGCACAACAAACAGGTGATTGTAGAAGGTTATAGCATACAAAGCACCTGTACAAGTCGTGCTGACAGCTCATTTACCTTTCCAAAGGTCATGATAAAAATTGTCAGTGTCAGAAGTGGAAGTGTAGATGATGGTCACATTTTGCTATTTTTATTTTGCCATCATCTATGTAAAACCACCCTCCAAAATGTCCAGGGGCCGATTTCACCAAAGGCTACGATCGATCGTATCTTAAGTTGCGATGGGTTATCCATCGCAACTTAAGATGATTCCTAAAATCGATTTCAAGAAAATTGCGACGAGTGAACTCGTCGCAATTTTTCCCATGGTAATTCATTGTAAGTTACGATGACTTACTAGGTCATCGTAACTTACAACTTTGGACCAAAGAAAGTTTGTTTAAGCAATGGCACGCTTATGTTG